ATAATTTTATTTCAATACACTGGCACTAACCAGAGCGCCTAAAAAAATTCATAAAAACATGCCTTCTTTTGACCGAATTAACTATACCCCTCCCTTAATCCTGACGTACGTTATCAGGATTGCCACAGACCTGGAAAACCGGGAAAAGTCAGAGAAATTAAAATTGGTCATGGAAAACCGGGAAAAATGTCAAAAGAAAATATAAAAGAGACTGGAATTTTAAACTTTGCTTGCAATTCTCTTAAACTGCTCCTATATATTTCAAATAATTTTTATAATTTTTAAAATATTATATCTGATGTTTATAGTCAAATACTTTCAAAACTCATGCACTTCAAATGATTAAAAAAATAATTAAAATTTCTATTTTATTCAGTAATTTTATTTGATCGCTCTTATTCGTCATAACTGCATTCTTTTTCCAATATTAATTATGTTTTTATTGGCTTGAATTTGCCCCCAAAATTTTATTATGTTACTAAGCTTCTTTCGTGTTTTTAATGATATAAGCTAGCTTTCGTACAATCCTTGTAAGGATTCTAAATGTTAAAATTTTTTGCATATTTTATAATGTTAAAATTTTTATATATTTTATTAGTCATGGAAATTTCTCATTTTTATCTGGAAATATAAATTAATTTCTAAAGACTCCTTAATGATACAAAATGACTAGATACAACAGGGCAATAGAAGTCGAGCACGGTAATTCTTGTGCAAACCAAAACAACTTTATTAATAATTAGTCCGCGCTCAGCGGACTCCTATTGCCCTGTTATATCCAACCATTTTTTATCTGGAAAACCTGAAAAAGTCAAGGAATTTTAAAATTCATTTTCTGTGGCAATCCTGATAAATTACGTACAATATTTTTCACGCCACAAATAAATATATACAACTCAAAATAAAAGTTGAAACGATCTTGGAAAATAGAATGCAAAAAGCACGGAATTTATTAATCTCGCATTAATTCTCGATGATCTCAATTCTATCTTCTTCCGAGATGCCAAATTAGTATAATTAACGCGTGCGAGAAATACATAATTCATTGAAAATGGGTGAGTTGTTCATCGGAAACAGATACGAGGTCTACGAGAGACTAATATGGAATTTAGGTTGGGGACGTTGTTTTGCGAGAAGTAATTTATATAATGCAATAGTGCAACGTGTTATGAGTTTGGTATTTGTGTGTATAGGTCAAAGTGTCTTGATTAGGCTAATAACAAATATACTTAACCGATTATCACCTAGTCTCGAAAAATATACTGCATAAAAATTTAATAACGTACACATTACATATTAAATTTTTACTGAGAAAAAGATGCATCGGAGATCCCAAATTATATAACATATTTCTGAAATGTTAAATATTCCTATTGATAGGCCTGTTTTTTTTTGGCTGAATTTTTGCACCAGTTCATCTTCTTTTCTTCTGAAGAGAAAAGGAAGAAAAATGAACTCGTGCAAAAATTCAGCTAAAAAGAACAGAAGCTTATTTTTATGTCTGCATATAAAAGGAAAGAGGGAAAAAAAACAAGTAACGCTCGGTCATCGAAAATATAAATATAACTTTTTATATAATATTGTCAGAAAAATATTACAAATATTGAACGTTTACTTTCGTAAGTATAACTTGAACATCTCTCTCCAGCCTTTCGCGGTCAGAAAGTATAATCGGAGAATATACTGAAGCTCTATCACTTCAGTCTGTTGAGGCAGGAAGTTTTGAATCACATACTTTAACAAAAATCGATATGTACACAATAAAAATTGCGTTATTCTATTACGTCATTAATATTAGTAAAAATCTCGATGTGAGATGCGGTACTCGTGGACTAGCCGCAAGCACGCGAAAAGTAAAGTGCAACAAAGATAACATTCTCTATATAAATTTTCACAATCCCAGATAAAATAGAAATCCTTTGTAATCGCGTGAATTTAACAATGCTTATACGAGAAAAAATTCGCGATATCTTTATTTTAATTAATGTAGAATACGCAAAGTGAAACTAACTTTAGTTTAATGATATGCATTTCTCGTGATAGTCGAGAATGGACTTCCGAGGATGGACAATTTAATTTTCCCTAGGAAACATCTCGATGAATGGATAGGCAGATGCGGTCTGTAAAGTTCAGGTCAAGCTTGAAATCGCTGTACTTTGAAAATAATATTTTTCAAAGTTTGTCACAATGCGTAATGCATGGCTGAAGCAGTGCGCATTTCGCGACACTTCGCGAATTCTTTTAAAATTAAATCAAACTAAGGTGAGAAGATCATTCATTGAAAAAGAATGATATGTAGCATTCGGTAATAAGCGCATTTGGAACAAGTTTTCCTAAACTAAACTATTAAAACATGTTTTTGGAATTTTAATTAATTAAGAGGAAGTTCTTTGATATCAATCATGTTTTAGAGTTACACAAAAAAAACGTTAATTTTTAATTAACTTAGAATGGATTTCATTTTAATGTGTATATTTCGACTTGAGGCATAAATAAAGTTAATTTAATTTTAGAAATCAAAAACTGCGGGAAAAGAATATTCTAATTTTCGGTAATATTTCAAATATAAAAATATATTTGTTTTAATCACGAAATGCGCTTATTAACAACTGTTAAATGTGGCGAACAAAAATAGGCGATCACGCGATGTAGATCGGCCGCAATGCGAAACCCGTGGCTGTCGAGTTCCGCAGCTGCGAAAAGTACCGAATATCGCGAAACGCATGACATAAAACTAAAGGCCATGACACAAAAAAACTTAAGACGAAAGACTAAGGGGGCAAACTTGCATAGCCGTATAAACTAATGTTTATACGGCTATGCAAATTTGTGTGGAATGGCCCTAAAGGGCT